AAGAAGAAGCAAAATGTGTTATAGGATGTGGGGAACAAAGGCAGAAGAGAAATTATTAAATTTCCTTACTACCTACAGCCCATTGACAAGTCCTTGAAACAGGCAGAGTGATATTCCTCTAGGGACTCAACTGCCTCCAATTACTTTAACATATAAAAGTTCCTTTAGAAATTTCCTTTATCTCTAAACCCCCAAGATATGTTTTGGCAATCAACCCCCAAGCACATGGCCCACTGATATACATCTGAAGGATCCCATGACTAAGGTTTTATTAGATGGTAATAAATGACCCTTTCCCAACGATAGCTAGCCCCCTCAAGGTCCTGGAAACCTTGCTTCCAAAATTCCTTGGAAACTTACACTATCCCTAACTCCCTCCCAACTTGAAAATTTATAATGGGCCACTCCTCATGACCCCAGTGTGGCTCTTTCTGCCCATGGGTCCTGTCCCCATGCTTTCATAAAATCACTTTTTTGCACCAAAGACATCTCAAGAATTCTCTCTTGGCCAACAGCTTCGAACCCTAACGTCTCTTCCTACATCAGTATATACATACAGTGGAATATTATTCGACCCTTAAAAAAGGAAGGAAATTCTGACACTTGCCACATGGTTGATGACATTATGCTATGTGAAACAAGCCAGGCACAAAAAGACAAATTCTCTATGATTCCACTTTACCGAGGTAGTCAAATTCACAGAGGAAGAAAACAAAACGGTGGTTGCCATGGGCTTGGGGGGAGAGGGAATGGAGAGTTAGAGTCTAATGGGGACAGAGTTTCAGTTTTGCAAGATGAAAATAATTCTAGAGATGGATGGTGGTGATGTTCTCACAACAATGTGAAAGTAGTTACTACCACTAAACTGTACACTTAAAAATGGTTAGAATGGTAAGTTTCCTGTTATGTGTACTTTACCACAACTGGAAAAAAATGTTTTAAGTTAAGCGAGAAACAAACCAATAAAAATCACAAGGCAATATTTTTTAAGGAAATAAGAATGAGGGGCACCGGGGTGGCTCAGTCGTTAGGCGTCTGCCTTCGGCTCAGGTCATGATCCCAGGGTCCTGGGATCGAGCCCTGCATCGGGCTCCCTGCTCGGCGGGAGGCCTGCTTCTCCCTCTCCCACTGTGTTCCTGCTTGTGTTCCCTCTCTCTCTGTGTCTCTCTCTGTCAAATAAATAAATAAAATCTTTTAAAAAAAAAGTTTAAAAGCTGCTCTATAATATTCACTAATACACATAAACCAAACATTAATTCATTTAGCCCTTCCCCTGTCATTAAACAATTACATTGTTTCTCTTGCTTTTTGAATACAATACTTCAAAGAACATTTTTGTGCATAGATCTTTGTCTTATTTCATTAGGGTATATACCTAGATGCGAAGTTGCAGAGTCAAAAATGACAGCTATAGCTACAATTTAGTTTTAGAGTCACTGAAAATGGCATATATAAAGAGTTGTGGGTTTTTTTTTTAAGCTTTCACTTTAAGGGGCGCCTGGGTGGCTCAGTCATTAAGCGTCTGCCTTCGGCTCCGGTCATGATCCCAGGGTGTTGGGATCGAGCCCCGCATCGGGCTCCCTGCTCCGCGGGAAGCCTGCTTCTCCCCTTGCCCGCTCTGCTTGCAGCCTTCCCTGCTTGTGCTCTCTCTCTGACAAATAAATAAATAAAATCTTTAAAAAAAAAGAGAGAGAAAGAAAGAATGAAATTCTGTTTTTAAACGTGTGGGTGCGGGGTGTTGTAACAACGGGGAAATAAGTGTGCTGGGCTTTTCGGCTATCGGAAGGCCGGCCATCAGGAGATGGTTCCAGCCCTGACTGCCACTGCCAGCCGTGTGGCCTTGAGCAGGTCACTCAATCTCTCTCTGAGCCTCAGTTGCCTCACCCGTGACATGGGGCCTACAGCAGGTGGGTGGACGGGAGGACGGGCTAAATGCACGGATTCCCGTCCGGCCTGGTGCTCTGTAGCCTGTAGATGGCAGAGCCAGCGACCGGGGGAAGGCTCGGCCCACCGGGCCGCTCTTCCAACAGGAGGCAGTAGGGTGTGGGAGTGGCACCCTGAGTCCCCTGGCCCCTGAGAGGACTGGGTTTGAGGGCCAGGGTGGAGGCGGGAGGGGCTCCTCAGCGGGGGAAACGGCTCCGGCTCCGTGGTGGAGCAGCTGAGCTGCAGCTGGGCCTGTGGCCCAGGAGGCAGTTTTGCGGGTGCCTCCTCCCGCAGCCCACACCTCAGGTCTGCAGCTGGGTCCTGCCTCCTCGCAGGAGGGCCATGGCCGGGACTTGGCTGCTCCTTCTGCTGGCCCTCGGGTGTCCAGCCCTGCCCACAGGTGAGCCCCCTCCCCACCTCCCTCTCTGTGCCCCATTAGTTGGCCCAAGCCCACTCCCTAGCTCTGGTCCTCTCTGGGTAGGGGTGGGATGCGGGGAAGGCAGGAGAGAGCCCTTTGGGGTCCCTGGGGAGGGTCTCACCAAAAGCCCCCCATTCGCTTCCCCATCGTATCTGCCTTCCGGCTCCCTCACGCTGGGGCCCCGAGTCCCGCTCCCTGGAGTCTGCAGTGTTGGTAGGTAGGGCAGTCACGTCTTGGCGGTACAGAGAACTAAGAGCAGGCCGATGGACGTCTGGAGAGGGTGGAGATGGGGTAGCCCGAGCGGGGACACCGGCAGCCCCGTGAGGTCCTCTCCTGTCCTTCCTGCCCTGGCCTCCTGCCCTCAGATTGCCCTCTTCCAATAGGGCTCAGAATGCCTCATGTTCACCCCCTGCTCCCCTTCGGGGGAGGCCGCAAGGTCCCCATGACCTCCCAAGGCTATTACCCTCAGTCCTTCAAGGATCAAGGATGGAGTCACAGGACCTGTGTTTAGAGGAGGGAATTCCAGCTCCATCTAGAAGCATGTGCATGTTTGCCCATATGTGGTGGGGAAGGTCATCTTTTTGATCTAAAGCTGGCCCCCAGTATTGTCACAAGCTCTCCCTTGCTAGGGAGACAAACCACACCCATGTGGGGCAGGGAGAGCTCATGGCAAGAGGTCCGAGCTCTGAGAAGGAAGCAGCCAGGGTGAGGAGGAGCAATCCTGGGCAGCTTCATGGAGGAGGCACATGCTAAACTCAACCTGGGGAGTGTCTCTATCTGTCTCAACTGAAGAGGCTCAGGAGGTCAAGGGTCCTGGAGCTCACTCTCAGCTTTCTCTATCCCCTTCGTTTGCCATGTCTTATTGAAATTAGTATTGATAATAATACTTATCTACCAAGGTGTTTGACATTCATGATCTTTATTCTTCACAACAATTTTACTGGACTGGTGTTATTAACCTCATTATACTGATGCAGCAATTAAGACTCAGTAAATTAAGCAGACAAGTCGGGAATTCGACCAGCTCGGGCTGAGACCATGTCCCAGGCTTGATGCCCTGTGTCATGTAGCAAAATTTTAGTCATCCTTCCAAGCGGGGTGGTCTATGAGAGCAGGAATCAGAGACCCAAGTTCAAATCCTGAGTAGGCTACTTACCATCCACATGCTTCTAGATCTGTTCTTTGACCTTCGAGAAACCTTTCCTGAGCACTCCCCTCCGACCTCCCCTTAAGATCCTCTAGTGTCCTTTCCTGAACCCTGGGGTATTTCTTTTCTTTTTTTAAGATTTTATTTATTTATTTGAGAGAGAAAGAGAGCAAGAGAGGACACAAGCTGGGGACAGATGCAGAGCGAGAGGGAGAAGCAGGCTCCCCACTGAGCAGGGAGCCCGACTGGGGCTCCATCCCGGGACCCTGAGATCATAACCCTAGCCAAAGGCAGACGCTCAACCAACTGAGCCACCTATGAGCCCCACCTGGGGTATTTCTTTAGCCTGGCTGCATTTAACTCAAGGTGTGAATTTGTCTGTGGGATTTTTGTTTTTGGTTTTGTTTTTGAAGATTTTATTTATTTATTTGAGAGGGTGGGGGGAGGGGCAGAGGGAGAAGGAGAGAAAACCTCAAGCGGACTCCACCCTGAGCGCAGAACTGACCCGGGCTCAATCTCATGACCCCAGTGTCATGACCTGAACCAAAACCGTGTCGGACACTTAACCAGCTGTGCTCTCTATCTCTCTGTCAAATAAATAAATAAATAAACAAATAAATAAATCTTTAAAAAAATAAATCACATGGGTACTGCAAACATCTGCCCTGTATTTTCCAGGATAGTCCTGATTTTCCACAATCTTATTCTTTTCAGTAAAGACTCGGAGCCCCGAGTTTAGAGATTACTTAAAAATAAAATCTTAAAGGGGCGCCTGGGCGGCTCAGTTGTTGGGCATCTGTCTTTGGCTCGGGTCATGATCCCAGGGTTCTGGGATCGAGCCCCACATCGGGCTTCCCCGCTTGGTGGGAAGCCTGCTTCTCCCTCTCCCACTCCCCCTGCTCGTGTTCCCTCTCTCGCTGTCTCTCTGTCAAATAAATAAATAAAATCTTAAAATAATAAAATAAAATCTTAAAAGGATGCTACAGACCTACAAAAAAGAACTGACAATGATGCAATAAACACCTATTCATATTCCACTCAGATTAACAAATGGTTTCAATTTTGCCATATTTGAATCAGATAAAAGAAACAAAAAGTTACAGATACATTCAAAGCCCTCTTTGATCTCATTCCAGATCTTACTTCCTTCCCTTCCTCCCCAGCGGTAACCACCCTCCTGAGGTTGGCACAACAAGGTAGTGTAAGAATTTGTTTATGCATCTGCTATCTTTCCCATGGGACTGAGTTCCTTGAGGGCAGGGGCAGTCTTCATCAGTGTTTTATCCCCAGTTCCTGGCACAGAGAGGTTCAGACAGGCTAGATGGGTGAGGGATGGATGGATGCCTGGAAGCATGGACAGACATACAGATGGAAGGTAGAAAGAACAGATGTCGGAAAGACGGTTGCTGGGGAAAGGATGGATGAATAGATGGGCAAATGCAAAGAGAGAGGATGGATGAGTGGGTGGAAGGAGACATAGATGGACAGAGGAAGCAAACCCAGATGGAAGGATAGAAGCCTATTATGAGATGCTGGCAGGGACCGAACTAGCCCCCCCACAGGTGCGTGCTCTCTTACAGGTGTGGGCGGCACACCCTTCCCCTCTCTGGCCCCACCAATCACGCTGCTGGTGGATGGGAAGCAGCAGACGCTGGTGGTCTGCCTGGTCCTCGATGTCGCACCCCCTGGCCTTCAGAGCCCCATCTGGTTCTCAGCGGGCAATGGCAGCTCACTGGATGCCTTCACTTACGGCCCTTCCCCAGAGGCTGACGGCACCTGGACTAGCTTGGCTCAGCTCTCTCTGCCCTCTGATCAGCTGGCAGCCTGGGAAAACTTGGTCTGCCACACTGGGCCTGAGGCCGGCGACCGCAGCCAGAGCACACGGCCCCTACAGCTGTCAGGTGGGGATGGAGCCTGGGCCCCTGTGGATGCTCCCTCCCCCTCCCACACACTCTGGAAACAGGCTCTGGTGGGAGACAGGGCAGGCTCCCGTGGGGGCATGGAGGGTGTCCCCGTGCCAACCATCTGAATGAGGTGATGCCTGGGCTCAGAGCAGGGTGGCCTCAGGGCCTTGAGTCCTGGATTTGCAACTCCTTCAAATATCCAGCCTACAAATATCTCCTTCAAATCCAGGCTCTGATGCATGACTTCCAAAAGGTAATAATACCACCTCCTTCCTATTACCTAGGGTTGATATCTAGATTTATGTACTTAAGGTTAATATCTATATCACCCTATCTATGACATCCTACCTAGAAGAACCAAATGACAATCAAATAACAAAATGCTATCATCTACTTATTGTTCACACTGCGCCAGGCACTGCTCGAGACACCTTACATTCACGAAGTAGGTCATATTATTTTCCCAAATTTACAGGCACAGAGATGTTTAGGGGACACGTCCAAAGCCAGCTATTATTATTACTAGATGACTTCCTGTTTCTGGATTATGGTAGTTTTGGCATCTTCCAAATGGGAATGTTTGTTGAATAAATGCCCTGTCTTTCAAAGAAGGCTGCTAAGATAATCCAAGCCCTCGTCTAAAAGTGCCGAGAGACCTCAGCCTGCCCCGGGGGGCACAGAATAGTGGACAGTGGGGACTGAGAAAGATCTGAGTCCCTGAGAGGAATCGTAGCAAATGGGCTCATGTTTCCTGCTGCTGGTTCGTTTGTCCGTTTATGCAACTTGCCATGCACAGCTGCCCTGTGCCAGGCCTGGGGCGCAGAGCTTGGGTGGAGCACAGAGCCCATCCCGAAAGACTCATTCCCTTCTTCTTGGCTGCAGGAGAGGTTTCCTCAGCCAGGACCTGCCTCTGGGAGCATCTCAGGGGTGAGTATTGGGGAACGCGATCTTGAGCCCTGTTTGGGTCTGGCCTGATGGTCCCACTGTTGTGTGTGTTTTGGGGGGGGCCTTGGTGGGTGTTCCCTGAAGATGCTGCCTTGCTGGGTTGGGCACTGACAAGCCTGGGCTTCAGTCTACCCATGCGTAAATGAGAGTGGATCCTCTGACCCCAGACTAATTCCTGGACACCAGTTGAAAAGTGTAGGTGACAGCTAACAGAAGGTTCCATGAAGCTCTCCTTGGGCAGCCCAGATGGATGGTGTCAACAACAGAGCCTTGGGAGACTGTTTGGGTGGTGGACTGTCCCACCACCCACCGGACAGAGAGAGTCCTAGTCGGGTTCTACTTCCTCACCACGCAGAGAATATGGGGCTGGTTACTCTCTGCGTCAGATGCTAATTCCTGCTTGGCCTGCCCCCCCACCCTGGTTTGGGGGGTAATAAAATGAAGGCTAGGAAGGTATGTGTTATTACTACCAGGTAGAGCTGAGGTTAGACACCAGGGAGGACTTCCCCCGGCTCTGGGGCACGGCGGGGAGGAGGACCGGCCGGGGCGGAGGACAAGGCCCCTCCACCCCGGAGAACCTTCTCGGGCGGGAGGGGCTGAAGCCGGCCTCCAGGCCCCTGGCCTCCAGGCCCCTGACGGCTCGTCTCCCTCCCGCAGGGGTGCGGGGCCAGGCGCTGCGGCTGGGGGCGCTGCGGCTGCTGCTCTTCAAGCTGCTGCTGTTGGACGTCCTCCTGACCTGCAGCCGCCTCCGCGCCGCGCCGTGCGCGCGGGGGGACCCCGGGCTGCCGCGCCCCCCACGGGCCCGCAGCCCCACCGCCGGCTCCCGCAGCCCGCCCCGCTCGGCTTGGCCGCCGAGCCGGGGGGGCCGCAGGCCAGGAGCCCCGGAGCCCAGTCTGGGAGGAGGGGACGCTCTCTACCCACCGAGCTTGGGCCTGGTGCTCCATGAGCCCCCCGGTATTCCTTCCTTAAGCCTTGCGGTATTTGTGTGTGACCTGCCTCCTCCCGCAGATGGAAGTTTCTGGTGCTGGGCTCTGTCTCCCGCCTCGGACTGAGGCCTTCTGAGGGAGGAGGGTGGTGTGCCACGGGTACTGGGACATTTGAGGTGCAGAGAACTGAGAACAATTAAAGGAGAACTTAAATGACACAAATGAAACATTTGAATTCATGTCTGCCCTGGGAGGAGGGAATTTGGCAGATTTTGAAAAGGCAGAAATCCGGGAGGGCTCCCTTGAGGAAGAGGGCTTCCTGAGGGTGAGACTCTGGGAACTGCAGAGTGATCCTGGGGTTTGGGGAGGACGCTGTCCTACCTCTGTCTCCTTCTCCCACAGCCAGGCATGAGAAGAGGCCCCCCCCCACCTCTGTCTCCTCACCTTGGCCCAGCCTCTGCGAGAGGTCAGGGTGAGGAGCCCAGGAAGCCAGGAAGGTGGGGTGCTGGGCCTGATGTGAAGCTTTGCACAGACTTGACAGAAATGAACGGGGGCCAGGATCCCAGGGTAACAGGATCATGTACAATGCCAAGAGTATGGATGTTAATTCCAAACTTACACCTTATTAATCAATTAGGGGTCATTATTCATTTAACAAATATTCATTAAGCATCAACCCTGAGCCAGGCACTAAAGAGATTTTTTGTTTCTTTTTTTTTTTTAAAGATTTTATTTATTTGACACAGAGAGAGCAAGCACACAAGCAGGGGGAGCAGCAGGCAGAGGGAGAGGGAGAAGCAGGCTTCCCATGGAGCAGGGAGTCTGATGTGTCTCCTGGGCTCAACCCAGGACCCTGGGATCATGACCTGAGCCGAAGGCAGACGCTTAACTGACTGAGCCACCCAGGCGCCCCTCTTTTGTTTCCTAAAGAGAGCTCTTTGAGCTGATAGTATACAAGTCCCCCACAGTAGAGTGTGTGGCCCGTTTCTCCAGCACTGGCAGGAGATCCAGCCTTTCCAGGGGTTCCTCTCTCCAGTAATCACCCCCAGGAATCTCAGGTGCTGTCATGTGAATCCAGGGGTCCCCTGGGCAGCACAGGACAGTCTGCTGGACCAGTGGTGCTGCCTTCGTCTCCTTCCCCCAAGGTGGTGTTAGCGAACTATGCTCTATGCTCTAACATTCCACCCGCTCATGGTGGCAATGCCATCTCCAGCTGCCCTGAGCCTCTGTGCCCTCTCAGTTGCTGTTCCATGAAAACCCTCCCTGTCTTCTCCACAGCCATCTCTCACTAGCCGATCAGGAGATGCTCCTGCCTCTTTTTAGATTCTTCAAAGAGGCGCATCCCACAACTCCTGGGGATGAATCGGACCACCATCCCCACATGGGCTGCTCCTTCCCCAGCACACAGACTGACGGAGGGATAGGCTGGGTTGGGCTGCGGGCATGTCCAGCCATAACCTCAGATTTTCTCTGGCCACTGTCTCTTCCCAGCCCTCAGCCCAGATGCTGAGTCCAGAGCTCCTGCGAAACTAATTTGTGCCTCAGTAAATGTCCTCTCAGAGGTCCTTTTAGTCATTCTGGAAGCAGAGTTTCCTTTAGCTTCAACATCCCTCCTCCTCATGCTCCAATTCCCCAGGATTGGGGTATCCTGCCCTGCCCCAGGCTCAGTCCCTACTGTGGTTGGCTTAAAGTTATCTCCCAGGAGGATTCCTGGGCCTAGGTAAATCAAGGGCTTTGGCCAGGCTCTGAGTCTCCCCAAGTCTTATGAAGCCTAGAGAAGATGGAGGCCCTCAGAAGGGTGTCCTGATCCCCTGCGCTATAGAATTCTACATACCACAGCCCCTGCGTATCCAAAGTGCCTTGTCATTGGCACAATTGTTTTGAGCAAGAAGCTAAGATCAAGAAATAAGTCAAAAGGCTGAGCATCAGTCCTCCGAAGTCTTCATAAAATAGCGTAAATATCCAACCTCCAGGAAGGAAACATAAGGCACTGGGGAACAGGGCCTTGTGGAGAAAAGTGCATACAACTTCCCAGAAAAGCAAACTTGGGGTGTGTGTGTCCATAGGACACTGAGCTCAGGGGCAGTCTGAAGCAGCCCCGAAGACCCAGAAAGTCCTCCTCTTGATGACACAGCAGATGGGGGCCCCATTGATCATCTCCTTGTACCAGGCACCCTGTTATTGCTGGGGAGGTGGAAGGGAAATACAATCGTTCATAGCCAAATCCCTGCTTTGCGGGAGCTCAGAATCCAAAGAAATCAGTAATAGGGCAGAAAAGAAGGAAGGAAGGAAGGGAGGGAGGGAGGGAGGAAGGAAGGGAGGAAGGAAGGAAGGAAGGAAGGAAGGAAGGAAGGAAAGAAAGAAAGAAAAACCGAGGCTCAGAGAGGAGGTGATTTGTTCTGGTTCTCAGGGGCCCAATCTAGGATTACTTGGCACTAAGAAAGTTGTTTGAAGGGCGCCTGGGTGGCTCAGTTGGTTCAGCGACTGCCTTCGGCCCAGGTCATGATCCTGGAGTCCCAGGATCGAGTCCCACATCGGGCTTCCTGCTCAGCAGGGAGTCTGCTTCTCCCTCTGACCCTCTTCCCTCGCGTGCTCTCTATCTCTCATTCTCTCTCTCTCAAATAAATAAATAAAATCTTAAAAAAAAAAGTTGTGAAGGCTGGGGACTGTTTGAGTCGCCAAGGTCTCTCCCACAGCGCCTACTAGTGATTAGCAATTACAACAATAACAACAACGATAATAATAACAAAATTTAAAAACAGGTGCTCAATAAGGGTTTGCTGCATTATGACCCCAACAGGGAACTGATGTGCAAGGAGGCGGAGAAGGCCGAGAAGACGGCCTTCCGCACCTCTACCAGGACCCACAAGCCCGACCTCCTCCCATTGAGGCCCAGCCCGCCGCTTCCATGCTCCGCGTCCTGGTTCTCCAGACCCTCCCAGAGCCTCCGTTAGTGGGTGGGGAAAGATGCTGCCATAGGTCACTGAGGACACCATCCGCGCTCTCATTGGTCAAGACTGAGAAAAGATCGCCCTCCCATTCGCTGGAGGGCAAGCCCCGGAAAGCCCATTGGCTGCGTTGTCCGCGGGCCTCCGTGAGCTCTGGGGGCGGGCCGAGGTGGCCGGAGGAGGGAGCGGGCGGGGGGCTCCCTGTTGCCCTGGTTACGCCGAGGCACGTGTGCAGTCCCGGAAGCGGCTCCGGGAAACTGCCCAGCGCGCGCAACCGGAGAAATCGCCGCCGGGTCCGTTGGGGTCGGGTCCGGCTGGGCCATGGATCTGTTGCCTGAGCCCGCGCCCCGGCCTGGGCCCCGCTGTCTTCTGCTTCTCTCCCTGCTACTGTTGCTGCTGCTGCTACTGCCGGCCTCAGAGCTGGGCCCCGGCCAGGCGCACGCAGAGGAGACTGACTGGGTTCGACTCCCCAGCAAATGCGAAGGTGAGGGGGCGGGGCCCGCGGGGAGTATCCTGCCAGAGGGGCGGGGCGTGCGGGGTAGGGGCGGGGGATGGAAAGTCCTTGGCACCTGAGCTAGAGCCTCTTCATTCATTGAAGCTACTGTGTGCCTGGCACTGTGCTGGACGCTGGGGACACAGGGGCGGGCAAGAGATGAGGTCTCGGTGCACCTGGAGCTCTCAAGTCGGTACAAAAGAAGCAGTTATAATCCAGGGTGGTAGATGCCATGATAGAGTAGGTACTGGCTTTGCGGGCCGGGGAAGGAGCATCTAATTTAGCCTAGAGATGAGGGCGGGGGAAGGCTGTGTGGAGAGGGAAGTCAGGAATTCGTATAGGAAGCCCAAGCAGTAATTAGGAGTTAGCTGGGCAAAGAGACGTGAAAAGAGAGAGTCTCGCAGGAAACCGCAGATGCAGAGGCTAAGAAGCAAAGGACAAGTTTGAGGAACTGAAAAGGTCCTTATGACTGTCCTTAGGGTAGGAAAGCCTGAGACTCTCCCCTTTGTGCCCTCACCACAAGCTGATCTGTGTAATTGATAGACTTCCCCACTAGTGTTAAACTCCTTAAGGACAGGGACCTTGTCTCAGATATTTATTCACACAGTGCCTGGTGGGCACCCAGTGAATGGGGGCTTTGGGTGTGTGTGGAGGAAGGAGAAGGGTCTGAGGCCTATGGGGAGAAGAATAGAGGGCCACTTTGGGACAAGAGTAGATCTGGCCTGGGAGAATTTGGTGAGGGAGGAAGACTTTAGGAATAAGGAGAAAGTGAATCCCAAAGATACAGGGATGGAAATGTAAAACTTGAGAGAAAGAGCACCAGCACCCAAGCCAGTGATTCAGGACTATGAAGGGCCTACCTTTTCTCCACCCTCACCCCCACTATCTCTTTTTTCTCCCCAGACCTTTGCAGTCACTCCCTCCTTGCCATCTCCATAAGCCCAAACCCCTCCAAAAGTTGGCTATAAATCCATTTCCTCCCCATTCAAAGCATACAGCAGGCCAGATGTTCCCTAAGCACTGGGAAGTGGGGGTGGGTGGATTGGGACACATAATCCTTTCATTTGAGAGATGAAAGCTGAGATGCTTCAGAGATGAGCCGACTTCACTGGGAGGGCTCTCAGTGTGGGTTCTAGCCTGTACCTTGCCCCTCACGCCCATAAATAGGCAGGCAGAGAGTTGGGGTGCTTTCCTTTTACTCTTGCTCTAGGCCGAACCTATATGGTATGGTTTGGGGGTCTCACTTCCTCTCTTTGTTTTCTGTCCCTAGCCCTTAAGAAGGGACTATTCTCATAGCCTGAGAACCTCACATTTCTTTCCCTTAGGAGGCATTTAAAAGGGATTTTCAGTTACAGGATGGCTTGGTAAACTCTTAGGCTCCTCTTAATAGTGTTTTGCTTTTATTTATCATTGTTGCACCTTTGTTATTAAATGCTGACTGTGTATGGCCCACAAAGCCTGCCTCCTGGCTCCATGGCCCGAGTGGAATAGGCCTTGGCACAGGGGAAGGAGGACCTACCCGGAAAAAGAGTAGGTGCGTGTCCATGAGAGTTTGGGGTCTGTGCCATGAGTCTCCTACAAGTCTAGTTCTGGGTGGGATCCCCAGAGGGGGTCTTGAAGAGGTAAGGTTTGGAAGAGTTGGGAAGCAAGGTTGTGATTGATGGGCACAGGAGAGAAGGGTTTCAGCTCCCCAGGGTCTGGAATCCTACACATTGAGGGCGTGGGAGAAGGGGGCAAAAGAGCCAGAAAAATGATGAGCTCACACAGAATGTAGAACAGAGAGGGGGAGAGGGACAGGTGTTCCTGGCTAGAGAGCCAGGGAGGTGAGCCGCCTCAATTCATTGCAGACTCTGAGATCACAGCTTATATTTTGGAATTTTAATGTATTCCAAGTTCTCCAAGCCATCTATTAAATATGTATGTTATAAAATTTTACCAAGCAAGCCTTCAGGGGATGGTTTTTTGTTGTTGTTGTTGTTTTTGTTTTTGTTTTGTGGTGAATTGGTCTACTAAACTCTGCTGTCAGTGTTATAATAATACTAATGGCATTTGGCCTACAGATCATGTTCATTCAGAGGCATCAGAAGCTGCTCTATCACAAACGCAGTCTCTCAGCAGTATTTATTAAGTATCCAACACAGACAGAATCCCAGACTAGAGGAATACAGAAAAAGTCCAATACATGATACTCACTTTGGGTATTGTTGTAGTTATAGTTGGGGAGACACAAAGTGACCAAAGGCTCTTCGAACATGGATCCTGTAGAGACCCAGATGAAATCAGAGCAGGTGGGATAGGTCCAGAAGAGCTTTCCAGGAGGAGGAGGCTTTTAAAGTGGGGTTGTGGGGCACCTGGGTGGCTCAGTTGGTTGAGTGTCTGTCTTTAGCTCGGGTCATGATCTCAGGGTCCTGGGATCAGCCCCATGTCAGCCTCCCGCCTCAGCAGGGAGTCTGCTTCTCTCTCTCCCTCTACCCCTCCCTTGTTCTCTGTTTCTCTCTCTCAAATAAAGAAGATCTTTTTTAAAAATAAATAAAGTGAGGTTGTAGGGCGCCTGGGTGGCTCAGTCAGTTAAGCGGCCGACTCTTGGTTTCAGCTCAGGTCCCGATCCCCGAGTCATGAGATCAAGCCCCAAGCTCTGCATCGAGCCCCTCATCGGGCTCTGCACTCAGCCAGGAGTCTGCTTGAGATTCTCTGCCTCTCCCTCTGCCCGTCGCCCTGCACATGTTCTGTCTCTCTCTCAAATAAATAAAATCTTTAAAAAATAATAATAATGATAAAGTGAGGTTGGGAGAATGGGTAGAAAAGCCCATAGAAGGCATTAAGCGCTCTCCCAGGGCCTCGGATAGGTCACACTTTCTGTGTCAACACTCCTTACACAGCGGCGATTACTCCATTGGGCTGGATGTAGAACAGAGGAATCTGTTTTCAGCTGTGAATCCCCAGACAGTGCCTGGCACACAGGATTGCTTAGTAACTGTTTGAGGAAGAGTAAGAGAAAACAAGAGGATGAATATACAGAGCCGGTAGGAACAAGGGCCTCTGGAGGGGATGGAGCCGATAACCTTGGTAGGAGCAGAGAGCTGGTGTTGTAACAGCATATGAAATCAGATCATAAAACAGGCAGACAAGACCTTTGGGGACAACTGGGAAAATTTGAATATGGACTGAGTACTAGGTGATATTGGAATTATTGTTCATTTTCCAAGGATCGGTATGGTTTTATGGTTGGTAGAAGAAAGTTCTTGTTCTCAGAGATGCATGAGGACCTTTTGAGGGGTGAAAGATCATGATGTCTGCAACTTACTTTCAAAATGGTTTAGCAAAAACAATGTATATATTGTTGAGATATATTACTGTATTATGCTATTATTTTATATTATTATACTGGAGAGAGATTGTGGCAGATTGTTAACAAACTGTTGAAATGAGTGGAAGCTGTATAGTTACTCGTTGTACTCATTCAGCTTTTCTTTTTTTTTTTTTAAAGATTTTATTTATTTAACACAGAGAGAGAGGGGGCAGGAACACAAGCAGGGGCAGTGGGAGAGGGAAAGGCAGGCTTCCTGCAGAGCAGGGAGCCCGATGTGGGGCTTGATCCCAGGACCCTGGGATCATGACCTGAGCTGAAGGCAGACGCTTAATGACTGAGCCACCCAGGTGCCCTCATTCAGCTTTTCTGTATGTTTGAAATTTTTTAACTATTTTTTTTTAAATTTTATTTATTTGACAGACAGAGAGAGACACAGTGAGAGAGAGAATACAAGCAGGGGGAGTGGGAGAGGGAGAAGCAGGCTTCCCGCTGAGCAGGGAGCCCAATGTGGGGCTCGATCCCAGGACCCTGGGATCATGACCTGAGCCGAAGGCAGACGCTTAACGACTGAGCCACCCAGGCACCCTGTATGTTTGAAATTTTAAAATGATTACAGGGGGTGGTGGGTGGGGGGGCAGGAGGGAGCTGGGAGAAATGGAGTCAGTAGGATAAGGGCCAGGACTGGACAGGGGGCAGTGAATCTTGGAGCCAAGTTTCACCCAGTGATCTCCGTGTGGTGGTCTGGGGCTAACTCCTTCCCCGCCCTGAGTGTTGACCCAGTCTGGGAGAGGCACCTACCTTGGTGCATTTGGCTCAGAGCTGGCTCCTTCCTGTCAGACTCATATGCGCTCAGTAGGCTGTGCCATGTCTCCTGCCCCCAGTGTGTAAATACGTCGCCGTGGAGCTGAAGTCAGCTTTTGAGGAGACTGGCAAGACCAAAGAGGTGATTGACACAGGCTATGGCATCCTGGATCGGAAGGCTTCCGGAGTCAAGTACACCAAGTCGTAAGTGAAGGGGGTTACCCACTGGCCTGGCCTGCTTTGTTCCTAGAGGCTTCGGAGGCGTGGGGTTCCCTCTCCCTTCCAACTAGGCAAACCCACCAAAGGGAGGCAGTTCTCACCAACACCTGAGTTTGCCCTCTGGTTTTGCCCCAACTAATTGTGTGGTCTTCATAAATCCCTTCATTCCACTGAGCCTCAGACTTATTTGTCAAAGCAAGACGGTTCGACCGTATCTCATCCCAGACTCTTGGATTTATTTCATGGGCCAATGCAATTTTTTTTTTTAAAAATTGATGACATAGGATTACCTGCTTTTAATTTTACCAGGGATAAATATTAAAAACAAGCCAAAAAAACCCCTCATCAGCCATGATCATCCTTTCAAAATGAAATACTGTGACATCAAAATTTAATACATTTTGCCTTAGGAAAACATCTAAATACTGAATCATTTAGCTTTATAAAAGATGTCTTCCCATAGAGCTGTTACATTTTGTCTCTCTGGTCTGTGTTCCAGCATTTCAGAGCCCCCAGACCAGATGACCTATCTTCCTTCCAGCTCTGACTTCCCTTTGGTGAGATGCGCAGGTGTTGGGGTAGCAGGGCTGGAGGGACGGACCGCTAACCCATTGGGGCTGGGAGAGGAGCTCAGTCCCCCTCGTGATGCTGTCTCTACAGGGACTTGCGGTTAATCGAAGTCACTGAGACCATCTGCAAGAGGCTCCTGGACTATAGCCTGCACAAGGAGAGGACCGGCAGCAACCGGTTTGCCAAGGTTGGATTTGCGCTTGTCCTTCATCCCCATGGGGCAAGGCCTGCCTGTATCTAAGTGGTCTGCTGGTGTGGGTGTGACTTGAAGATCATGTTTGGGGAGCTTCCATCCTTGGCCTCTGCCCATTCTTCATCAATTATGGTTTGCATTTCTCACATCCTGAGTGCCCTGACTCTTCAGGGGCAGTAGGCACATTCTTTTTTTTTTTTTTTTTTTTTTTTTTAAATTTTTTTTTTTTTTTTTTTTTAAGATTTTATTCATTTATTTGACAGAGAAAGTCACAGTGAGAGAGGGAACACAAGCAGGGGGAGTGGGAGAGGGAGAAGCAGGCCTCCTGCTGAGCAGGGAGCCTGATGCAGGGCTCGATCCTAGGACCCTGGGATCATGACCTGAGCCAAAGGCAGATGCTTAATGACTAAACCACCCAGGCGCCCCAGTAGGCACATTCTTAGTACCGGGGCCATCAGGGCCCTGCCTCAGCCTCAGCCCGAAATGCCCCTGTGGAGGCCTGAACACTGGCTCAGGGAGAGCTCAGAAAGTGCAGAACTGTGGGGTTTAGAGGAGATGTCAGAAGACACAGCAGGGTGGGGTGATTACCTAGTCCCTCTGGGCCCACAGGACACTCACCTGGACCTCTGTCAGGGTGCCTGTGTGATATTTAATGCACTTACTATGTGCACAAATGCCTCTGTCCCTGAAGAATGAGCTTCTTACTGCAGGCCCACAGTTCTTTGCTTCAACATCTTCAGTGCCTGGCACATATGGTAAGAGACTTGCCTCCCATATTTCTCCACCTAAGTACCCTTCTAGTGGAGTTGATTAGTCAGAAACCCCTGGGGAACCTAGAGGGATAGTCTTTTTTTTTTTTTTTTTTAAGATTTTATTCATTTATTTGACAGAGAAAGTCACAGTGAGAGAGGGAACACAAGCAGGGGGAGTGGGAGAGGGAGAAGCAGACTCCCCACTGAGCAGGGAGCCCGATGTGGGGCTCGATCCCAGGACCCTGGGATCATGACCTGAACCGAAGGCAGACGCTAACGACTGAGCCACCCAGGTGCCCTTTAGAGGGATAGTCTTAAACAGCGGAAGTCTTAGATTTAAAATTTAGGGGCGCCTGGGTGGCTCAGCTGGTTAAGCGGCTGACTCTTTTTTTTTTAAAGATTTATTCATTAGAGAGAGAGAGTGCGAGCACACATGAGCATGTGTGCACTGAGGGGAGGGAGAGGGAGAGTCTCAAGCAGACTCTGTGCTGGGTGCAGAGCCTGATGGGGGGCTCCATGCAGAGCTCAATCTCATGACCCTGAGATCACGACCCGAGCTGAAACTAAGAGTCAGACTCCCAACTGACTGTGCCACCCAGTTGCCCCAAGCATCTGACTCTTGATCTCAGCTCAGATCTTGATCTCAGGGTTGTGAGCTCAAGCCCTGCATTGGGCTCCATGCTGGGAGTGGAGCCTCTTTAAAAAATAAAAAAATAAAATAAAGGGGCGCCTGGGTGGCTCAGTCAGTTAAGCGTTTGCCTTTGGCTCAGGTCATGATCCCAGGGTCCTGGGATCGAGCCCTGCTTCAGGCTCCCTGCTCAGCCGGGAGCCTGCCTCTCCCTCTGTCTGCCGCTCCCCCTGCTTGTGCTCTTTCTCTCTCTGATAAGTAAATAAAATCTTTAAAAATTAAAATAAAATTTGTATGAATTTTGTATTCTACTCAGTAATAAACCCATGTTTTGCTTTAATATAAAAATGTTTAAAACTATTTTCCATAGCAGTAAAATTAGAAACAACCTAATCATTCACCAGTGGTTAAATAAATTGATACGGCCATTCGGTGGACAAAACAAAGAATGAGATAGCTCTTTATGAATTGAATTCAAATTGTCTCCAAGTTCTGTTATTCAGTAAAAAAGTCAAAGGGCAGAATAGTGTGGCTGATATATACTACCACTTGTGTAAGAAGTGGGGGCAAGAGAGGAGGATATATTTGTATGTATATTTGCTTGTATTTGCCTGCATCACCTCTGGAAAGAAAGAGGAAATGGACAGTGTGTAGTTGGACTCTCCAGGGAGAAGACCTAGGGAGCTGGCAGAAATATTTTTACAGAACCAAGAGCTCTCCCCGCCTTGCCTGTGCTCTCTTCTGACCCAGGAAAGACACAAGCCCCAGGAAGAAGCCGGAGTGGGGCGTGGGTCTAGACACGGGGGAGCACGTGTTCCCAGCCACAGTGAGGGGAAAGAGCCAAGACACACTTAATTCCTGGAAAAGGAATTTCCATTCAAAGGGCCTGAAGGCAAACAGCAATCCTTTTTGAAAGGTTGAGGTGTGGGGAGACATGATAGGGTGTGTGTGTGTGTGTGCGTAGGGGTTGTGTGGGGATAGGCCTGAAAGGGGAGAGGAAGGTGAGGTCAAGTGTGAAAAGCCTTGGAGGGTCCTGACTCCTCAGTGCTGGGTCCTCCGGCCTCCAGCACCACCCAGAAAGGAGGGTGGGAACTGGTGAACGCTCTCAGCCTCTCAGGCCCTGCTGCCTCTTCCAGGGCATGTCGGAGACCTTTGAGACACTGCACAACCTGGTCCACAAAGGGGTCAAGGTGGTGATGGATATCCCCTATGAGCTGTGGAACGAGACCTCTGCAGAGGTGGCTGACCTCAAGAAGCAGGTATGGGCCTCTCGGCCCTCAGAGGCTGCCCTGCCTCACCAGGGTGGCTGGGGACCGGGTGTGTGGCTGAGGAAGGCCACCAAGAGCTGGGGGAGGGAGGGAGCTCTGGTCAAGTCGTCTCACCTCTCTGGCTTCAGTTTCCTCAGGGGAATCACAGCCACCTGCCTGTCCTGCAGTGGGTTGTGAGACTCGGCTGAGCGCCCCCCCTGGGAGCGAGTCAGTGCTGGGGCTTTGCCAACGCGCCGTGTTGTGATTCATAGTGCGACGTGCTGGTGGAAGAGTTTGAGGAGGTGATCGAGGACTGGTACCGGCACCACCAGGAGGAAGACCTGACTCAGTTCCTCTGCGCCAATCACGTGCTGAAGGGCAAGGACACCAGTGAGTGGGAGGGAGGGAGAGGCAGGGTGGGTGGGCTCTCCGTTTTACCACTCGCTCCCCCTCAGGGGAGGTGGGTTGGGAGAGGATGGAAGAGAAATAAGAAATAGAAGGCGTCCTAGCAGCTCTGCCCTTGGGGAGCTTGAGGGGACAGGGTGGGGTAAGAGGTACTGAAACCAGGTGCAGAATCACACGAGGGGAACCACAGTGAGGCAGGAGGCAGGGATTCATGGGGCGCCAGTTCCAGTTGTCGCTTCCGCTCCCCCCACCGCCGCCCCGTCAGTGCTCTGCCCCCAGCAAACCAGTCCTTTGCGGGTGTCTCTCCTCACCCCAGGTTGCCTGGCAGAGCAGTGGTCCGGCAAGAAGGGGGACACAGCTGCCCTGGGAGGGAAGAAGTCTAAAAAGAAGAGCAGCAGGGTCAAGGCATCAGGCGGCGGCAGCAAACAGAGGAAGGAGCTAGGTGGCCTGGAGGAAGACCCCAGCCCCGATGAGGATGAGGGCATCCAGAAGGCATCCCCTCTCACACACAGCCCCCCGGATGAGCTTTGAGGCTAACCCAGTGCCCCCTGTACCGAGACCCCTGACCTGAAGCTGAGGAATCTGGCACCCCGCTCTGGCCGGCAGACAGCTGTCCTGCTCCAGGTCCGCCCTGCCGGGCCGGCTTGCCACCAGGAAAGACACAGTGCGGGGAAGACCTCGCCGCCTCCCTCCGCCCAGCGGCTCTCCTGACCCCGGCTTCCGGCGGGCCGTGCGATTTCCCGCCTGCTGAGGACTCTGGTGTGACCTCAGCAGGGGCAGGTGTGGGGCCCATAGGGAGGGCACCCGGGCCTTCACCTCCCCTTACTCCTCCCCAGCGGGGAAGCAAGACTATAGGCCATCCCACCCCCGCTTACCTCCTCCTCTGGACACCTGGCACTCTGCCCGGTCCTCCCTAGGGCTCACAGAGTAAAAACCTTTTGGCCTTTTTTGTTCCAATTTTTGAGTCCCCTCCAGCTCCTCAGAGAGGCCTGGAGCCCCTGTTGCTCTTCCTTGCCCCTCACCTTCCGCCTTGGGGGCCGAGGATGAAGAGGCAGCTCCCATCCTCCCATTATTGAGGCTGGCCTGCCGGCTCTGGGGAACAGCAGGTGCAGGGAGGGCCTGGGTTGTTTTGGGGTGAGACCCTGCCCCTCAGCTGCCTTTGGACTCCCTGAGCTCCCCAGGCCAGGAGGGGCCTCACTTGCCCCTGGGCACCTGGCTGCCCTCTATTCTGTCTTCTCTCCCCGAAGGCCTTCCCATTTGTTGTGTAAACTGTTTACTGATGAACTCACCAGATTCCACCCCTCCTTCCCATCTCCATCTGCCCTACTTGTTGGTCTTGAACCTTGTTCCCTGATGACCACAAATTACCGCTCTGCTCTTTCTAATTGTTGTGCCCGGAGGGGAGGACACCCCAGTCCCCCAACAGCCAGTTACACCACATTCTCTGGGAGCAGGGTATGAACAGGAAGCGTGGCCTCTAGGGAGAAGTTGTGGGAGGCCCAGGCACCTCCCTACTCTGTCCCGAGGGCAGGGATCAGGGTGCTCAGTAGCAGTAGTAATGACAACTGCACACACTCGCGGTGCTTTAACTCGAACCCTCACAACTCCCGTGGGGGTGCCATTAGCCTCATTTTGTAGAAGACAAAACTGAGGCTCAAATGAAGTGACACAGCCAAAGTCCTGCTGTTAGTAAGTGTCCAGGGGCACTCAGACTCTGGATTCAGACTCTGGGTCCGTTGTGTTTCCACCACCCCATGGCTGCCACCTTCTTTCCCCGACACCTGGCACTGGCAGCGTGGTCCACATTGAATTGGTTTGGTTTCTTAGCCATAACTCCACCCCTACCAACAAACCTCTTTTCCAAGTAAAGGAGGAAGCAGCTATGGCTTCTCGGAAGGAGACAATGGCAGGAGGTCCTGCCAGTGCCAGGCCCCCACCCCAGCCTCACAGACCCCTTAATGCTCCTGGCCTGGGCCTGGTGGGCAGGGCGGGGATGCAATGCTGGAGCGCCCCAGACTCCAGCTCCAGGGTCTGAACTAACTGAGGGTGAGGGGCCCCCTTGCAGCCTGGGCTCAGGCCTTCTCCCCTGAGGTGGGACAGCCAAGGCCAGAGAGGGTGGAGCAAACCAAAAGCTTTTTTCCTCCAGTTGGTGAGGCTTCCAAAAGGTCCTTGGAGGATGATACTTTTTCGGTTTAGTCCCCCTGCCCCGACCCATCTCTAGGACTGGTGCTGCCCCCTGTTGAAGGCACTGTGGGCAGTGAGATTCCAATCGAGACTCGGGTCCCACCCCGGGCTCTGGGAGCTGGAGCTCAGGGCTGGGGAACCATTTGCAGCCCCCTGGACTGTGTAGGATTTCATGGCTATTCTCTGATAACCCCATTCTGTCACTGACCCAGAGTACTTCAGTGCCTGGCTTACGTCTGTCCCCAGAGCTTCATTGGTCCTTCAGGTAGGATGGGACAAAGACCTATCCCTTTGCTGGGGTGTGGGCCCAGTGGCCCAATCCAGGCCCAGTCCCAGACCAGAGGGCGGACAGCACTGTGACTGCTTTGCTCTTTGACCTGTGGCTGCTGCGTGAATAGCCCCTTCCTCCCCCTACCCCCCACGAGGGCCAGGTGTGTTGCGCATGCACTAGCTCTCCACCCACCTAGCCCAGCAGGCAGCCTCCCCCCCACCTCACCCCTGCCCCAGCCCAGCCTAGGGGAGCCAGAGGCAAGATCCATCTTCCCAGGTTTTTCTTTTCTTCTCCCCACCACACACACAGGCCTTCCTGCACCTGAATATCACCTCCCACTTGCCCACACCCCTTCTCTCCATAAAGTAAGGGGACTGGCTGAGCTCAAGTTAACCAGATTTTAGTCCCTTTAGTAGAAATCCTGTTAGAACAGGGTTTCTTTCTTTCTTTTTTTTTTCAAAGATTTTATTTATTTATTTGACAGAGAGAGAGAGAGAGACAGCAGAGCAGGAACACAAGCAGGGGAGAGGGTCAGAGGGAGAAGCAGGCTTCCCGCCGAGCAGGGAGCCCGATGTGGGACTCGATCCCAGGACCCTGGGATCATGACCTGAGCCGAAGGCAGACGCTTAACGACTGAGCCACCCAGGCGCCCCAGAACAGGGTTTCTTAAACTCACTTGAACATGAGTGTCATATGGAATGCCTGTTAGATGTCTGGGCCCACCTCAGATTTGCTGGCTTAGGGACCTAGGAGTCTGCTTGTTTAACAAAGTTCTCATGGTCCTTAAGATGAGGCCAGCTGGAGCCCACTACAGCAGGAGAAACAGGGTGTTGTGCTAAGAGGGGGCAGGACCTCCATGAAGTCAATGCCAGGGTCTTGTCCTCAGAGACACAACTAGTCAGAACTCCAGAGAGGATCTGTCTCTGCCAGGAACTTCCATCGTCCAGAACCACAAAGGCTGATGGACCAACCAGAAAGCCAGTTTCTTACACAGGCTCTGATAGTGAAATCTCAGGGGTTGGGGCTCTAGTCTCAGGCGTGGCTGCACAGGGACTCTATATTCATTTTATTTATTTTTTATTTTATTTTTAGAGAGGGTGGGGAGGGGAGAGGGGGAGAGAGAGAATATCTTAAGCAGGCTCCACACCCAGCGTGGAGCCCAACGTGGGGCTCGATCCCGCAACCCCAAGATCATGACCCGAGTGGAAAGCTTAACCGACTGAGCCACCCAGGCACTCTTCTGTATTCATTTTAAAGGGCAATTTCTAGAAAGCGGTCTCCTCTATTTCCCAGTTCCTGGATGCTGTTCCCAGATCCAGAACCTTGGCTCAGCACACGGCCGGCCATGTGTCCCCAGTGGCCTTGCAGCCCTTCAGTTCACCAGTGAGACCAAAATGCCTTTTCTTTGTTTTTTTGTCTTAAAGCCTGTTTTTTGCGACAGATGCACGGTCTGCATCTAACTGGTTTAGAGGAGGGCTCCATGGGCTGGGCCTCACGGCAGAGGCCACCGAATCCCTCTTGAGCATCCCCTGATGGCTCTAGTAAGTTTCCTGGCAATAACAGCAGCCACTAGTTTTTGTTTTTTATTTTATTTTTTTCCAAGATTTTATTTATTTATTTGAGAGAGAGACACAGCAAGAGAGGGAACACAAGCAGAGGGAGGGGGAGAGGGAGAAGCAGGCTTCCCGCGGAGCAGTGAGCCCGATGGGGAGCTCGATCCCAGGACCCTGGGACCATGACCTGAGCCGAAGGCAGATGCTTAACAACTGAGCCACCCAGGTGCCCCACAGCCACTGTGGCAAGCCCAGCTCACCATGCTTTACATACTGATTGACCATGGCTATGGGCTCAAGCCCGGGGATTCCTAAAAACTACTGAAGTAAAACACACATACAGAAAAACATACCTAAGTGGACAGCTCACTGGTTTTTTACAAACTGAACACCTGAGTTGCCAGCACCCAGCTCCTGAAAGACATGATTACCGGCGCCCCCCTCCCCCACAGACATATCTCCCACCACAAAAAGAACAGGGACTTTTGTCTGTTTGGTTTACTGTTCTATCCCCAGCACTTAGTCCAGTACCCGGCACAGAGTAGCTGCTTAATAAGTAGCTGCTGAATGAATGAAGCACAGGAAGGTTAAGTAACTTTTCCAAGGTCACACATTCCGTAAGTGGCCCACGCAGGTTATGAGCCCCGGTGGACTGGCTTCAGTGTCTTGGGGCAGAGCCATGATGCCAGAGCACCCTGCAGCTATGGCCTGGCTTGGGCACCATCCCCCCCTTCCATGGCTCTCTTCTAGAAGCAGACAGCTACAGTCTTCAGAGTTCAACGTGGGGAATGCAATTAGGAGGGAGATAATTTTCAAACCTTTCTCCCTTTTCAGAGTTTATCGTGGTGTATAACTGAAAGGCAGCCTGAGCCTTACGCCGCTCTCAAGGGCTGGCGTTTTTGTTGTTGTTGTTGTTTGTAAGTAATCTCTACACCCGACGTGGGGCTCAAACTTACAACCCCAAGATCAAGAGTCTCATGCTCTGCCGACTGAGCCAGCTAACGTCCCCTCAAGGGCTGGCTCCTGTTTACAGTTTTTTGAAGAGGAAGTGAAATTTATTCATTCTTTAAAAATTATATTCTCCATCTACTAAGGTTGTACCGGCCAATAGAACTTAAACTTCCATGAAAATGATTATGATTCTTTACAAGGAGGTGTTGTTGCACATTGAGAGGGGAGAGAAGCAGGTTGAGCCCGTCACCAGTTCCAGGGGTGGTAACATCTATCACCAACAACCCCCCTAAAATATATAAATATATAAAAGGTTCTCTGTTCAAAAAGGAGAACAAAACAAAAAAAGAGCCTCAAGGGGCACCTGGGTAGCTCAATTTGTTAAGCATCTGACTCTTGATATCAGCTCAGGTCTTGATCTCAGGGTCATGAGTACAAGCCCCGTGTTGGGCTCCACGCTGGGCATGGAGCCTACTTAAAAAACGAAAAAGAAAGGGGCACCTGGGTGGCTCAGTCATTAAGCGTCTGCCTTCAGCTCAGGTCATGATCCCGGGGTCCTGGGATCGAGCCCGGCATCAGGCTCCCTGCTCCGCAGGAAGCCCGCTTCTCCCTCTCCCACTCCCCCTGCTTGTGTTCCCTCTCTTGCTGTGTCTCTGTCAAATAAATAAATAAAATCTTAAAAAAAACACACACACACACACTCAAAAAGCCAGATTTTAATTTTGTTAGGAATTACTTACTCACCAAAGTGGTCTTGGTATTTTACCGTTCATGTCATCAAGACAGGATGTCATATGGGGCGCCTGGGTGGCTCAGTCATTAAGTTTCTGCCTTCGGCTCAGGTCATGGTCCCAGGGTCCTGGGATCGAGCCCTGCATCGGGCTCCCTGCTCCGCAGGAAGCCTGCTTCTCCCTCTCCCACTCCCCCTGCTTGTGTTCTCTCTCTCTCTCGCTGTGTCTCTCTCTGTCAAATAAATAAATAAAATCTTAAAAAAAAAAAAAGGATGCCATGTGCAAAGTCAGCTGGTTCAACAAGCAATGCTTGCTTAGCCTGTTACCAGGGCTCAACTAGTGTATCATTTTTATGTGGAAGAACAGCTCAGTGAGCAGATTGGTATACACTGAAGAGATCTTATTGGACATTAGCACACCTTAAAATTACTTGTAACAAAGTGTGAAATGGTCAAAGAAAACCTTTCTTCTTACACAGTGGTGGAATTCTTGTAGGTGCACTAAGCTTAAAGGAGCCACCTTTAATTAGTGTTGTAATCCACTAATGTAGGGACCAATTTTACCTCACTTAACAGGACTTTATTAAAGCAAATTAAGTCTTATATGGTATATTAAAAAGTCCAAAAAAGGAATCCATTGTGATATATCTGCTAGGAGAGTCCATGTGGGTGGGTGGCTTCCCTCCCCTCCCCCAGTGTCCCAGTGTTCAATCTGGGGAGACAGCAGACAAGAGGTTTCTTCCAGCAGCTTTGGACTGGAGTTTGGAAATTTGCATCCATCCTCTGAAAAATTAATTTCTACCTCTTCTGAATCTAAACAAAAACAGGATGTCCTTCACTTGTGGTTACTGTACATACATACTTCACAATTCTAGGATTTTAATGTGTCCTCAAATTGGAATAGCCTGGGAGTTTGTCCAGCTGCAGCCATATTCCCAAGCTAAGGTCTTTTGGCAAACATCACACATTTGGGGATGAAGAATTTACTCTTTTCAACTAATTCCAAATAAGTACTGCATTTTATTTATTTATTTATTTATTTATTTTATTTATTTAAAAGATTTATTTATTTGACAGAGAGAGACACAGCGAGAGAGGGAACACAAGCAGGGGGAGTGGGAGAGGGAGAAGCAAGCTTCCCGCAGAGCAGGGAGCCCGATGAGGGGCTCGATCCCAGGACCCTGGGATCATGACCTGAGCCGAAGGCAGACGCTTAACGACTGAGCCACCCAGGCGCCCCAAGTACTGCATTTTAAAAATGTCACCTATTCTTATTTTCAGTTAAGTCAAACAGTAAATTGATTTAGATTCCGTGATCTTCTCTTCCACAGCCCAAGGACTCACATTTAGTTTCTCTAAAATTCACCAAACTAATAAGTAAAACAAAAGGCAATTTCCATATGTATCAGTGGGCAGAGGGCATGGACAATTTAGGGAAGAAGGACTGCAATTATTTGGTCCATTTTGGTGGCAATTGAAGATTACAGCACTTAGATAATAACTGTTCTACCTCGTAAGATATCAAGGAATAACATTTTCATGTAGAGAAGAATTGAAACATTTGTTTTGGGTGACAGTATCGATTAATAGAAAAATTCCATTTGAAAAATGATTTGATCATAATTATCCAAGTGTTCACTCTCTTGAAAAATTGTGGGAGCATTTTAAATGTTCAGAACTGAAGGAATGATTAACAAGTCACAACACATCTACTCAGTGTAGCCATTGAAAGCATGATTAAGGCCAAATAATTTAAGGTCAAGAGAAGAAAACATGCTTTTGATGGTTAAAAGTTAAAAAAGAAAGGAAAGAAAGAAAGAAAAAAGGCTCATGAAATGTCATGTATGTTATGATGTTGACATTTTTTAAATGCCTCTGGATGAGAAAAGAATCAAATAATTATTGACTTTAGAACAAAAATCTTGTCTTTCAAATGGAAAGTACACTTACAAGCTACTCAAAACCTTTATTTTTTTTTTAAATCCAAATTTACCACCAGTATTCATTTTATTTTAAAAAATCATATTATGGCTCTGTGGGTAAAATTATATGTTTCTCAAAAATTGTAAGGATCAATATTTAAATAAAAGCCAAATATTTAAATAAAATTCCTTATCAGTATGGAGAGTATGGCCTTTAGCCTCTAAAGGCTGCAAACCAATCACAAAAATGTTATACAAACATTCAGAGGTGTGCATTATGCCAAAAATTCAAACAACTTTGTTTTAAAACGAGTAAGAGAAAAATAAGAGCTGAAATCACTTCTGGACAAGAAAAAGTTCCTGGGAATTGTCTTGTCTTTAAATATTGAGAACAGGGGGCGCTTGGGTGGCTCAGTCAGTTAAGCCTCTAACTCTTGGATGCCTGGGTGGCTCAGATGGTTAAGCATCTGCCTTCGGCTCAGGTCATGATCCCAGGACTCTGGGATCGAGTACCGCATCGGGCTCCCTGCTCCTTGGGAGCCTGCTTCTCCCTCTGCTTCTCTCTCTCTCTCTCCCTCTGTCTCTCATGAATAAATAAATAAAATCTTTAAAAAAAAAAAAATAGCCTCTGACTTAATTTCTGCTCAGGTCATGATCTCAGGGTTGTGAGATAGAGCCCTGCATGGGACTCCACACTGGGTGTGAAGCCTGCTTGGGATTCTCCCTCTCCCTCTGCCTCTCTGCCCCTCCCCCCTCCCTCTCTCTCTAAAAAAATAAGAAAATATATATATATATAAATAAAATCTTTAAAAAAAAGTAAATGGAAAAGAAAGCAGTAGTAAGGGAAAGAATAATAAATTGCCCTAGGCCACTTATCTATATATTTGTAATTCCCAGTACTGTGCCCTTCTCAGTCTGTTGCCAAAGACCTGTCTATAGGGTCAGCATGAGCACAAGACTCCATTACTTGGGCAAGGCAGGCCCATTTGAGGCAGTCTGTGTGCTAAAAATAGAAAGTTAAGAATGATTATATAATCTTTGGGGTTCCTTCAGCTCCTAGATTCTACAGATAATGAAAGGGTGAGCGGAGGGGAGCCTCCTTCATTCTACATTCCATACTTAGCTCCTTCTGAAGCCAGAAGAACAAAGATAGGTGGGGAAGTCTGTTCTCGCTGTCTTGGGCCTCACTGGGG